CGTTAGGTTTAGATACGGTTTATCTTTTGCTGAGAAATTGTATGAAATACAATTGTCGATGAAAAGCACGTTATCATATGTCGTTTCGCCTTTGTTAATTTGTATAGGATTATACTTTTATTGCTACACTTATCAAAATTTTGGTTTCGTAACTTTTTACTCTTTAACGAAACTCGAAATTTGATTTTATGTTAATGATTTTATGATAAAAAAATGAAAGAGAGATAAAAGCTAGGGGAGGAGGAAACTTAAGGGCCCCGGGAGCATAAAATGGTAAACGGCCCCTTGCATACGGGAGACATAACAGCAGGTAAGCCGATTTATATGCGCTCCTTAGCTCGCGCGTGCACGCACTTTACGATATGTAAAACTACCAGGGCTGGCATTGTGCGACCGTCGTAAAACCAGCCGTTCGAACCGCCTCAACTTTGAAAGACTTTCGAATAATATTACATACAACTTTTGCATCATGCATGGCCGTTCACTCATAACATGCGTATGAAGGGGGTTGCGTGCACTGTTCAGAACGCCGATTCTTCCTCGCCTTATTCCTTTCTGTTACTTCATTTGTTCCGTCATATTTTAATGTTTTTTTTTTGTATGTTTCTTTGATGTAATAATTATTTTATGAGTAAATAAGTAATATTCTTTCGTTATAGAAATTAAATATATTTTTTGCATCTTGAAATAGATTACAATAAATGTTTGTTGTTATTTTACACATTTTGCAATTTAATATATTTGCTCATAAATAGATACTTATAATTTTTAATATAGAGAGTATCATTTTTTTGTGAATTTATATACAATATTTTTTGTACAGCATTACTAAGAAGAGAGAAAGCATTTTAATGTTTTATTTATTCAAATAAGACCAACCCATATCAAAGTATCCCAGTTATTAAGAAAAAAAATGAAAAATTAATATGAGAACAGTTTTCTCTTTAATATTTATGTGTTTATAGTTGCGCATATTCCAAAGGAAACAACTACTATATATTTATTCCTAATTGATCTTGGCTGTTACATATAGCAATTGATACGAATCAAACTAGCAGTCAGAACGGTATAATTCGCGATTGTATAATTATTTCAAAATATGAAAGACCATACTGCTTTTCATTAATGATAGCCTTTTAGTAAATTGTATATAAAGCATTTTATATATTTTATATATATATATATATATAAATACATATATATATATATATATATATATACATATATACATATTGGTTGTGCTTATCAGCAGATGGTCTCATAAAGAATAATTTCATGTCACCATTAAAAAAACCGACAATCTCAATGAAGAAAAAATGTAGTCTACTTGCTGATGTATACACGGTCACAGGAATGCCTTAACATATGAATTTGTTAACGAGTGTCAAGGCACATTTGAATTGGCTTGTGAAATTCGCACTCGTGCAAGTTCATGTGTTTCAAGGCATTCCTGTGACCGTGTGTACATATAGTTTCTTTCGGCTAGATTGCAGAGATTAAAAATAAACAATGAAGAAGAAAGAGCGCGCTAAAATTATTCAAACACATTACTCTCGCGGAGAAGTACATTCCGAGTTTTATATTTGGCGTCACTTTGTCCCCCGTGGTGGATGGAGATGACGTAATTCGGAGGCAACCGGAAGTTATGGCGACTAAGTAAAGTGGACGATGGCGAGCGCGCAGCTGCAAATCCTATTTCTGAGCACGTTTTGATTTGCCTACATTTTATTACTGATAATATCTATCGCTACGTGAAAATCACTCTTCTACACGTTGTTCTACAACTTTAGCCTTGTTCTTTGCTCGCGCCTTGAATCTTTCTAATTTTGATTTCTCTTTTTTATTGTAGAATAATGCTATAAGTATAGAGCTATTTTTAAGCGAAGCTTTGTTATTTTTATGGGTAATTTTTATATCTCGCTTTAAGCGGAGATAACATTTCTGTTTTATGTCTGCGCCAATGTCGCATTAAAAAATCGCGCGAATGCAGACACCTTTCACAGAAAGAAAGATCAGGTGAAACAAGCGTATACGCAAAGCTAGCTAAGCCGTTGAATATAATTTACGAGGCAAACTGTATTTTTACAGTTGGTTCCCGTATATTCTTTATGTTGTTTGAATACATCTTGGCTATATCTAGAATAAATCATTTTCATATGGAACAGCGCACATGAATGAATCGCATTTGAAATGTGGTCTGCATGCGCCTTTTTCGATCTTCTATGTAATCTCGAAAAATAATCAATATTTTTTTTTGATAACTTTAAATAATTGCCTTTACGGGAAACTCTGCGATTAAATCTACGATTAAATAACTTCTTGCGATTAGAAATGCTATTCATTGTTATATATTATATTGCATGATTCTGATTCTAGATTCAAACTTTTAGTTATTGGAAATATGCATAATTTTAATATCTAGATATTTATAAAAGAAGCAATAGCTTTAATATCTAGATAATTAAAAGAAGCAAGTTAACATAATTTTCATATAAAAAAAAAGGAAATTACATTTTTGGTAATTAAACATTTATAATTTTCCCACTTGATAATCATCCTGTTATTAATTGCGGAGGTAAGAAGCACGTAAACGCAGTTCATCATCGCATCTAACGTTTCTTATTTCTCACCTTCGTAATAAATAAGCCTTTTATAAACCAGCGTAATATCAGATTATCATCCTTGCGCGTGTAAGATAATTGCACATATCTCGAAGAGTTTCTCACTTATGGCGAACATGGCTTTCGTTGACGGGAGTGAACGTACGTAGAGAAAACTGAGACTCATAATAAATCTTGAAAATACGCTCTCTGCAGGCGTAGTCGCAGTTTGTTGATAACCGCACCGGTTGCCTGCGGTGCACGGCATAAATATCGCAGTGACCGATAATGTTTCGGACGTGCAGTCAGCGCAAAACACCAAGATGTTGTCGCTAAGAAAATTGTTGTCCCGAGCGCGACCGCCGTGCCGGTAGATCTAAATTGAAACTGAATAGACAAAATATGTATTGTATTATACGCATTTTATATGCAGCTTTTATATGCAATATTGTTTTTCGTACGCACACTCTTCCTTTTCTGGGAAAAATAAAGATCTCAATAGTTTTTATTTCTTTAAACGAGATATTAAATATTGTTAATTATTATTTTACTTTTTTAATATTATCATTTTATATACAAAGCACAAAAACGATCATAAGTGCACCAACTGAGTACATTCACCATAAATAGCGTAACGTGTAATTTCGACGGAATTATTAATGTCTCATGAGACTTTTAAGTTAACTTTTATGTTAAACTTTTAAACGCTTTTTTAAATATTATGATGAAAATCGAGAAGCATCAGACTTGGAGAGAAGCTGGACGTAAAATAGGTATGCAGATGCGGCCTCTGAAGTTATGACATGTGATAGATGCGTTATAAATCAGTATCAAGCACTGGCAAGGGTACATCCCTGCAATCAAGCAACGTCGCTCGCGACATGCTAAACCGGCAATTATCAGCTTTAAGTACTATCGCTCCGCGAATTGAAACTGTCACATCTTTTTTTTTTAACGTGTAATAAATTTTGCAATAAATCTCATGCATTATAAATGCACATAAATCGCTATAAGCTCGAGTATTATATTTTACGCTGAAGCATCTATTACGATTATATATATTTAAGTAATTTAACCTGCAACTTATGTCATATCTACTTATGCCATACGAATTTGCGTTTTGAATTAAAAGATGAGAAAATGTTTTTTTCGAGCGATAAACTATGAAACATTAAACACTTGAAACTCTTGATTATTTACGTAAAAATTAATATTATTTTATATTTATTCGTATTTTATATTTATTTTGCATGTTTCGCAAGCACGCAAAATGAAAATTTCCAAAATGAAGTATCATGAATTATACATGATACCTGACCGAAGACGCTATTAATTGGTCCATTTCAATGGGTGCCAGAGGCGTATCCCGACAATCAAGAGAGTGACTAATTTAAATCGCTTTAATGCTCCTAGTTGGTGGCCTTATGCCACGGAGGAAGCTTAACAAAGATGGGAGAGGGCTCGATAGTGAGCAGTATTCATTATCTCCGGCTACGGGAGTGGTAACAATTAAAATTAAATGCCTCTAATTAAGCAATGAAAGCATGAAAGCGGCAACTGTTGAGCGAAGCCGTGCGATAGGTCATTTTGGTCTGATAGTGCGTTGAAGAGGATTTACATTTACGTGGGTTTGTGAGAAACACATTATAGGCTGACCGTTTTAAATCGAGCAAAATTTTCAATTCTAACAATTTTGTCGCAAAACAAGAATTTACATTTTAACATTAATGTACATTTATTTTTATGTCTTAGAATCTTATATCGTTTAATAGGCCTAAAATTTTACTGCGATGCATTAAAATCTTATATACTAGAATTTTAGATCACTTTTTTGTTTAAAATATATAAGATTTCAATGCATTGTAGTAAAATTTTAGGCCTGTAAAAGAATAATATAAAATTCTAAAGTAAAAAAATGAGTAAAATGTACATTTTAACATTAATGTACATTTTATTTATTTTTATGTCTTAGAATTTTATATCATAACATTTGGTAAGTTCAGAACTTTACTGCGATGCATTAATCTTATTTTAAACAATGAAATGGTCTAGAATATTAATTGGCTGGTATTAAAAAGTTAATTATTCTAAAGAAATGTTTTAAATTCTTACGTAAATTTAATAATTAATTTCTTTTATTATTAATATTTGCTGATAATTACATAGATATTAAATATTAATGTAAAGATCATTAAATTAAATATGATAGAACGTAAATTTAAATTTTATTTAATCAGTTGTATTTTTTAATATTATATTTTATATTCATAAGGCTTAAATAGAGAGAGAGAGAGAGAGAGAGAGAGAGAGAGAGAGAGAGAGAGTGCGCGCAATGTTATGTTATATTCTAGTAATATAAATAACAAATATAAATAAGATTATTTTCTCTTTTTTTGACAGTACTATACAACGCCCAGGTGAAAATGATACAATATGAGAATCAGGCATGCTGCTACTTACAGCCACCGAGTGTGAGAAATATATCATACGAGAAATCGATATATCGTATGGGGACCGCTTCGCAAAATCCATTGCAACTTTGGTCAATTAACTCCTTAACATGGCCCTTTAATTCGCTAACATCGGCAGCTCAGCCTTCATATCCTGAGAATTCAATCACATCACCGCACTCTGACAATACAAGTGCATCTCCACACCTGGACAACACAAGTGCGTCTCCGCGCCTTGAAAATACAAGTTCGTCTCCGAACGATACTGAGATATGTTCTGAGAGCACGCCTATGTATCCTGAACCATCCGCTGGATATCACTGGTAAGTTTATTTCATTATTTACTATTTACTTCTTAAGAATCTTTTAAAATTTTTTTTTTGAAAAAATATGCATGTGAATTATATTAGGTGTATCGAATATTTATGCATGAGTATACAGAAATTAGTAATATATCTCGCGATGTTATCTGACTGTAACACGCAGCGCGGCTGTTGAAATCAAATTTGATACAAGCGCTAGGTGGGAAAAAGATTAATTCTCGAGTTGGAACATAAATCGCGGTCGCCGTTATTCCCGATGCTTCTCTCTTTGTTTGCATCGTTGAGAACCCAGGTCGTAATCGCAAATACGGCGCGCATAAAACGGATTCTAAGCTATAAAATAGCCTTTTTTCCGAATGCCGAGCGGACTGCAGCGTTTAGACCGGCAAACGGCTACTCATCCTTCCGTCGATTTCTCTCGTTTCCGCGTCTATATTCTTCTTTTATCGCTTGATTGTTTTTGCTCCTGTTAACGTTACCGACTTCTGTAATTATTAAGAGAGATAGATTTTTATTTGCAATATTGATATAATCGTTGTGTAACATTATCAGAGATAAAATTCGTCAATTTATCGTATCTTTCATGAAATATATTTGCTATAAATGTACGTAAAACGATAAGCGAACAAATATAAGAATTGTAATTAGTATCAATGGTAATCGTATCGAACTATATTGCGCAGAACAAAGAACAATATGATAATTATTGTATTACATTCTTTATGAAAAATTTTTTATGAATATCGAATTTGCGATTGGTTTTATCCAGCGTATAACACGTGTAAAAGCTTAAAGATATGAGTCTCCTCGGCTTTAACGATGACAACACTATAAAGAATCGAGTTTACGAGTCTCTTGCGTCATCTTTGTTCAGAATAGTCGGTTATCGTTCTCGTTAGACGATTTAAAAGAAATAGCCGTTGCCGTTTATGAGAAAACGAGACTCAAACCTGACGCCAATCCGGATATCAGGGATTACGCGCGCTGTTTCGAAGATAAGCTCTCTGTGGTATTTACATTTAATTCTCTCTCATACATTCCCTGGCATTCCAAAGAGATCACGACAAATCTCGATTAATTCTCTAATTGAACCACGATACGTTATAAGAATATTCGTATTTTGTGGTTGGCGCATACATCTAAATAAAACTCTAAATAGATGTACGCGCATATATTGTTAAACAATACAATAAAATTTTAAAATTTAATTTAATTGAGTATTGATAATTCTAATTTGCACGCATACATGTAAATTAAGAGGAAATGGACATAAAGCTTCGTAATAATACATATATTCAGCTTAGTGACGTGTGACGTGTGACGTGTGACGTGTTTCCCCAAACCGCAACATCCTCATCGCAACGTATCGAAATGTAGTTTCACCGAACCCTTCCTGTACGCAAACATCTCAATCTTGTTGATATTTTGGAATTAATATTGATGTCGACGAGAAGATCTTGGAAATATGAATGCGCTTAAACGCTTAAAATCGGAAAAAAATCCGCACGACAAACCGGTCGCTTTTATCACGTAATATTATCCCATTCGAGAGGATATCAACTCCCATTGCTAAAGGCTTATTTATGAAGGTGTGCATCGCAAAATTCCAACGTCGTTGGAAATCGAGAAGGCATCAACATCACGGCGCAATGGACGGTCGTAAAAGGATTAAAGAAAACAAAAATTGCGGGGTTTACTAAAGGGCGCGCGGCGATACGCGAGATATGAAAATGGAAGCGGTAATTAAAACGTCGGCGAGGATTGTCGGCTATCTCGAATACTGAATGTGTGTGTGCGTGTGTGTGCGTGTGCTCGCAGCCAGTGATTAGGGTTGTTCAAAATGAGTCGATCTCCCTCGTTGGATGCGCGGTTAGCGCGCCGACCGTGAAGCGAGTGAGCGAGCGGTGGAATCCGGCGATGCGGCACTTCGCAGTTGGCACTTTGCATCGTCTTTTTTCTTCAATTCAATTTGAACGATAAGCGATACTGGCCGAAAACCACGACGAACATTGGTGCAGATGACATTTCTGTGGGCCACCATATGTTCCCGGAGTGTAAATTGCACGATCCGTGTGTCATTTCGCGCTGTTTCATCAATAATGCTGATACAATGCTGATTTTTTTCGACATCTGGCAATTTTTCTTCTTTCTTTTTTTTTTAAATATATTTATGCAGCATATTATGCGTGAAATAAACGATATTTAATTAATGTTTCCTCTTTGTATCGCAAACTGATTCAGCGAAGTATTCTCGGAAGCATCGTTGCGTGTGGCGAACTCATTAGAGCCAACTACGTTAAGAACGCGTGATGACTCTTGGCCGATGTAAAAAAAAATCGACTGTCGTCGATTTAATGTCGCATATTTGCGAGGGCGAGAATTCGCGATTGCTCCTAATAGTCGAGCGAGCGTTCGGCGAATCGTCGGCAGAGATTAGTCCCACTTTTGTAGTTAAGCAGCATCAATGTAATCGGACAGATCGCTCAGAGCGGTCGTAACGACGCTCGTAAACGCGGTTCGCTTTACAGCTCGGTGGATTTTTTTTCTCTTTCTCTACGCTACCTCCTCCTACCTCGTCACTACCTTCTTGTTCTTCTTTCTGGCCTCTTTCACGTCTCCCTTTCTCCGTCATCGCAAAGTCATAAGTAAGGCGCACCCTAGTCTTCCTTGCTTATTTCGCTCAGGGCGCCGTAAACTATCAGAGTTATGTGACAGACACTAGCGAAGTATAACCTCACGAAATGTCGAATGATTTTACTAGAATTCGCAGATCTATCTTTGGTATGTTTGTAAATAATAATGCAGGATAAAAATTGCCTTTTACAGCTAAAATCGATCGTACTCGTGGATGTGATTGTGTCGCGTTACTGATAATTTTTTCCTATAATCATATTGTTGTTAATGTTTTAAACTTTTCGCAACTTTTGGCTTTACGAAATATTAGTCTGTAATATTTAAGACACAGATTTTTTTAAATAAATGATTCTTGTGTACTGTAATATTATTATCATTTTTTTATTTCTTCATAAGCATATACAGTATAAAGAAAGTTTTATGGAGTATGCAGGGCTTATGGTGTGTCGACTGTTTTGATAAACAATATATAAATTCCTGTAAATAAAATTTATCGCTAAGAAAAAATTCACTAGAAATACGTTCGGAAATATGTTAGGGAAAATATGTTAGGGAAAACGACGTTTGTGTCATGGTCTGCAAGACACGTCGTTACGAATATAAGCAAGTTATAATTTCATTATGCGCTGAGTGCACATTTCACAATTTGATTTTGATGTTAAGAATATACATGCTCTGATAATTCGTATCAGATTTCTATTCATGAATATGAACAATCGAAACATCTATATTGTATAAAATATATATATCTATTGTACTAAATATATACTATCACAAATGAATAAGTAAACGTTATGTGAATATAAAAAATATTTTATATGTAAACTATGCATCATATAATGTTCTTTTTGTTTCTCTCTTTTACAACAAATATTTATAACGTACAAGTACTTGACATGCACAGTTTTCTCATTTTTGATATTGTACCGACGCCATAATCTTGCTGAAATTACGAGGACTTACTTAATAATTGATTCGGCTAATTTACTCCGAGACAATATTTTTGACCTTGATGGCGACTGTCGGCCTTATTCTTTGAGGACATGATTTCTAGAGACAAAGCAATAATTAGCAACGAAGTGCATAAGTCGCCGCCAATATCATTTCTTCTTTCTCATCATCATCGTGCAGCCTTGTACGTAAACCAAGAACTGGAGAACGTTAAGCAGCGTAACTGGCCCGGCTACACTAGCAAAAGGAGTTTTACTACTTTCTAACCACAGTCGCGAGCTACAATTAAACCCTCATAAACCTCGTCGTAACTTTTTTAAAAGCGACCGACTGCGCGCTGGCGCGCACGTCCCGCGCTCCTTTCGCTTCGTCTGGCAAAAGGTCTGCCATATTGCATCCTTAATGAAGTCCCGGGACGATATAAAGCATCGACGTCTTCCGGTCGATCCTAAAATCTTACCTTTATAGATACTTTATCAAAAAAATGAATTGTCTCTATTTCCAGAAACTTCAACAATTATTAAACGCGCAAAAATATTATAATTTGGAATGATCATTTCAAATGTTTCCCCTCAATATTTCCAGCGAATTTTCTCTACTTACAATGATAAATTTCGTTCACGGGAATTTATGTAGCGATTGATACACTGTTTATCAAAGAAAGCAAGCCTTTATCTACCCTGTGAAACTTTGTATGTTTTATATTAATGAGGAAGTAAAGATATTACAAATGATAACGATATGAAAAGAACGATTTAAGAAAATCTGTGTCTTAAATGTTGCAAACTAATATTTCGTAAAACAAAAGTCACGGATCTAGAACTAAAATTTACCAAAGTGCATCGATTTTTTTTATCAAATAGAGTAGTAGCTGCCAATAAGCGATTGCAAATTCTTACTATGAAGCTTTCGTTTTGCCAAGAAAGCTACTCTCAGTATGCTATTGCTAATCATTAGCGAAATCATACACAATTTGCCGGCAGTATCGATATTTCTAGTTTAGCGCGATGTAGAAAGGCGCAAGGCGACAGGTGACCGACATTATATTCACGTCGTGTAATTTCATATCCAAAGTTTTATTTCTCGGAGAATTATCGAAGAGTGAGGAGCGAGGTTGGCTTTTTACGTAGGCTCCTCGCATAGATTTCCTCGTCGGTGTACTCGTCAAGAGTGACGTCCTTCAGCGGCCGTGCCAGCGGCTAGGGGATCATCGGACAAGTTCACATGGTGCTTGCCGAAGACATCGGCTGCTCGAAGGCATAAGGGAAGGGCGAAAAGAGCCGGAGAAAAGGAAAAGAAGGAGGAGGCGACGGCTAAGAGGCTGAAGAAGGAACCTGGCAACCCGGCATGCGAGACTTTAGCGGGGACTGACGTTTACGGCTCGGAGCGTTCGACGTAGCGCCAGTAAAACTTAG